TGTCGTGCGGTGCGTCGTTGTGTGATGCGGTGAGTGCATGTGTGTTGCGGTGTTGTTGCATGCAGCTGTGTGTGTGCTGTTGCGGTTGCCGTGAGTGCACAAACGGCCCAACTGTGTTGTGTGTGTGGGTGTGCACATGTGCGTGCGTAGCCTGCATGTGTGCAGTTGAGTGTGTTTGCTTGCGCGTGTCTGTTGATGCTGCGTATGGTCTGTATATGCATATGCGTCCCGTAATACATAAGTTTATTAAACATAAGTGTATATTTAGTTTGTGCGTAAGAGGTTGTGTGCGGGCATTTGTGAGTGTGTGGGGGGGGGGCGAGGGGAGGCGTAAGACAACATTTAATGTATATAGGTATACATTTACATAAGTATAATTAAGCATAAATTTATGATAAGTAATTAATGCCTTTATATTTCATGAGCAGCATATTGTTGTAGTCTGGTATGGTATCTTATATGTGGTAGTCTTGATATGGCATTTAATTGCATAGTCACAGGGTCATATGCTGTCGAAAAGCATACATCCCTGAAGAATAAATTAGTTTGAAGGAGAGCAATTTGATTTTTAGCTCATCTGGACGTATAGTCGATTGAGCTTGGTGATCGATTGCATGATTGTCCGGGCGTCGCGGCGTGCGTGCGTGACAACAGTGGCACAAATCTTACGTCCTCGACGTGCGGTCTTACGCTATTCGGGAGTCAGGGGGGGATCGATGAAAAGGACTGGGATGACAGAATTTTGGGGGTAGGGTCATAAGGTCAAGATGGGGTAAGTACTAAAGGAGGCGGAATATTTTCCCCTTACTTAATGTATATGCGAGGAATACGGATTGCGGCACAATCTTTTACGGTCGACCTAAGCTCTTAATATTCGGTCTGTACTAGCAGATGTTGTTAGTCCGAGTCCGCACACGAGGTCGGTCGATAGTCGACCCGAAGGTCAAGAGTCGAGTCGCGCCACCGCAGTCCCGAGTCCCGATGTCGCGCCACCGAGTCGAAGTCGAGTCCAGAGTCAAGTCCGTTTGATAAAAAAAGGCGAAAAAATCTAGAAAAAAGGGAAAAAATCGCAACAGCGTTCGATAGATCATTTCGACTGTAGCCCTATTAGGTCAGCCGAAAACACAGAGCACGCAGGTCATACGAAATCGTGTACAGTATCGGATCCATTTGTGTTTACGAGATGACAGGTTGTTGAACCAAAATGAGGCAGGAGCTCAGTACTTTCGAAGTGGTAGAGAAGTGAGAAAGAAAGTGGTTAGAAAAAGCGCAACAGGGAGACAGTGACAGCAGATTCAAACCAAGTGACAATGGGAATCTATCGAGCCATTGAAACGTTACAAAAGATTAGTGCGCCGTGTATCTAGAACCTAGGAGTTTAGTTTTAAATTCTGTAAACTGCGTGTTAATATTGTTACAGTGATATGTACTATATCGTATAGTAGTGGCACTCGTCGGCCTCGACCTGAGTCCTCGAGTCATGGAGGGCTCGAGTCCGAGTCCGAGTCCGAGTCATTGCACTCCGAGGCCAAGACCGAGACCGAGACCAAGGAAAACGGTCTCGAGGCCAGTCTCGAGGCCAAGACCGGCCTCGAGACCTACAACACTGGTGTATAGTGAGTGTGATGGGCAGGAAACCCATCACCAGTGCGAAATTGGAGGTCACAGGTCAAAGGTCAGATATCAGACATTTTCTGACGACATGGCCTAATGGACAGAGTGAAAAACTTTTTTGTTTCAGCGCTGACCTACCATATTTATCACTTTATTGAAAGGACCATGAAATGTGTTTTCCACTGATGTGCGTTGAGTAAGTGTTTGATAACCTTTTGATCCTCAAGAGGAGGGTCAAACATGGATTCCTGAACTGCCTCAATGATGTCACAGTGTTCTCATATTCATGGCGCATCCATAATATAGAAAGCCAATAAGTCTGGATAGCCGAACGGGTACAGCACAGGATTACGGCTCAAAGGTCCTTGGATCGAATCCCATCAGATTTTTTATTTACCTGTTTTCTGTATTTTTCTATCTTTATCCATTTAACAATTTTTTTCCAATTAACGCAAATATTTACATGATTTATTTACAACAATTTAATATCAACAAATAATTTTTACTACATTACAACTATTATTTTTTTTCATTAGGGTTAGGGTTAGGGTCACAATGCACCATAAAATATGAGTTTCAGGCATGCGATTTGTATCAACCAATGGGATTTGTGAGGTATGCAGAATGCAGAAGGTTGCTGCAATGATGTGTACGCTACTGCATATCTGCATATCTGCATATCTGTGCCTAACTAAGGTGTCACTACGCACGACTTAAATGTTACGTTTATAACCGTAGCAACAGACCTCAGATGAGCCCAGATGCTCTGCGGCTCTTGTTTAATGATAATGAGTTAGTTACTAGACGAAATGTTAAATACTAAACAAGCAAATATCTACATGGGTGTTAACTGTCCGTCCGTCTGTAGATGGATTTCCGTCTTGAAAAAAATTCAGAATTTTCTTTTTAATTTTTAAAATTTTTTAATTTTTAAAAAGTGAATTGCATCTAATGATCTTAACTATGTATGCTTGTTATATATTCTTGTATAATAGTGTTTTGTCCAAGTGTTTATGTTACAAATTAAATAGATTGTAGTATTTTCTAAATTTCTCTTATCAGGAAATGTCACCAAATATGTTTTATATTGCACAGAATCCATAGCATTGTAAATCAATAAAGGTAATGATTATTATCAGACTAATTATTACATTTTTAAAACAACATTTAAATTGTATAATTTTTTCTCGCCATGTTGCAGATTGGGAGGAGGCCCCGAGGATGTGAAAGAAATTAAGATCCACCCATTCTTTACTTCCATTAATTGGAAAGATCTAGCAGAGAGAAAGGTAAGGCAAGCAGAGGGGTGTTGATGGCATATGTTTTCATAGACGGCTGCACAATGCATGTTTGCATGTTTCGTGATCATTAACGCCTCCCCCCCCCATATCTCCCACGCACACATACACTCACTACTTCGCTCTATCTGTGACACCTCCCACACATGCGCATGCACACGCACACACATGCTCACTCCCTCACTACTTCGCTCTGTCTGTGATGCCTACCACACACACGCTCGTAATAACACACGCACGCACGCACTCACACACCAACTCACACATACACACACACACACACACACACACACACACACACATGTACACATGTACACATCACACACACACACAC